GCTGGCTCCAGACAGGCACAGCACCAGCAGTTGTGGCTATTTGGGGAGTGAACCAATGGAAGGAAGACCTTTCTCTCTGTCTCTCTCACTGTCTAAAACTCTACCTGTCTGTCAAAAACCACCACATCTGAAAAAAGGGAGATGAGGTTACAGCTCCAACCAGTTATTCTATAGCTCATTACTTATTATTATTTTTTAATGGCACACAGCCATGAATGACTAAGGGAACTTTTATCAGTACCCGGAATCCTGGAATGGCATCTTTATTCTCTTTTCCAGTTCAATTATAACAATTTCTAACTCCCAGTCCCTAAAATGTCAAAAATATTTTAAAGATTTTTTTCTCTCCATTCTCTTCTGGAGATCATATCAATATTGCCTTTAGTGGAATGTATTTCCAAAATGGAAGGCAGAAAAAAAAGTCAAAAGTCACTGTAATCTTAACACCAGAAGCCGTGCCTGTTGCAGAAGCCCCAAGACATTGTTCTAAAAGTGTTCCTCCTCTTAATGAAGACAGAGAATTATTCCGGCTGCAAGCAGTCTGGGTCAGGTTCTCTTTACCTGTGAGGAAGTCCACTCCAAGATCAAAAGCTTGTTTGGGATGAGCTAAAACTCTCTGTTCATAATAAAAGCCAAACTCTTCAGTCCTTATCCAACAGGAGATTTCTAATGCCTGTTGTACATCATTGACATTCCAGGGACACTGAGGTTGGATCAAGTTGTGGATGACAATCAGCGCCAAACAGTTCGCCTGCTATTGCAAATAGAAGCTCCGAATGATACTGTGACATCAGGGTTTCTGTTTATCCCTAAGGCTGGTGCAGCAATGACTTTGAAGTTTGATGGTGTCTTTTTTTTTCTTCTTCTTTCTTCCCTCCCCCTCCTCCCCCAAAGATGTGAGCAGCAGGCTAATGGATCCCCAGCAGGGTGCAAAGACAGCAGAAAGCAGGAGAATCAGATGTCAATGTATTTTCTGAGATATCCTGCTAGGATGGAGCTAACTCACAGGGCTTTAGTCTTCTTTGGAGGAACACGCTTTGATGATTCCATGCCCACTCTTGGCTTCCTAGATGCTTTCTGATTAAAATGCTGTCACAAATAAATCATGACTTCTGCCTGTTAGGACCATTTTATTTGAATTCTTTTTTTTTTAAACAAAAGTTTGGAACCCTAGGATTAAAAAGATGAACGTGTTCTAGAGAACTATGTGGTTACATATGAACATATGTATATAAAAATGTATTATAACTATGCATGGGTCTGGGGCTGTTCTCATACATGTCAGAGAGCTATCAATGCCACAATTACTTGCTCTCTTTCTCTTTCTCCATTTGAGATAGAAACAGCTAGTTTCTCCTGTTTACTTATAGTAAGGAGAGCCCGTGTGTCAGTTTTTGCTGCTTTATTGATATGACTTTATATATATGGCCACTTTCAGTCAATCGCTTGATCACTCGAGTTACCTTCCCAGTGAGTAGATTCTGGAGGAGGGGAAGTTCCTTGCTGTTTCTCTGCAACACAGTCACAGATGGACCAGACATTAAAGTTATCCCTTAAATGAGAGTTTCAATTAAAAATAATTTATGGAGGGAGGAAGGGAGAGAGTGAGAAATTGATTTCCATTTGCTGGCTCACTCCCCAAGTGCCCACAACAACTGGGGCAGGGCCAGTGCTGAAGCCAGGAGCCAGGAAGTCGGTCCAGGTCTCCTATGTGGGTAGCAGGGATCCAACTACTTGGTCTCCCTGTGCTTCTTTCCAGGGTCAGCATTAACAGGAAGATGGAATTGGGAACATAGCCAGGACTTGAACCAAGGCACTCTGATGTGGGATGCGGGTATGTATCCCAAGCAGCGTACTAACCACTACACCCAACACCCATTCTGAATTTTCATTTTAAATATAAATGGCATCCAAATGTACCTATGTGGGTTCCCACCTACGCATACAAGTAGTCTTCAGGCATCTGAAAGTAGCAACAATTTTATCCTTTGCATGGAGGAAAGACAGAACTCGGCAAACAGGAGCACAAGCAAAAAGTGCTTGATCTATTTTGATGTCTGACAAGCACAACGCTTTTAAAGCCATGAAGTAAAACCAAACTACCCAATGAAAGTTAGTGAAGTAAAAAAAGCTGTGCGAAAATCATATTGTATCAACTGCCTGCTGCAAGTCCACTCTTCACTGCCAGACTCCCAGTGCCATCCCACCGCGTGTGGAGTAGCCTCCTGGCCGTGGGATGCCCTTGGCTAGCTGCCAGCTTCGCCACACTCCCTCTTTCCACACTGCTCCACCTGTGAGAGGATCCTAGCTCTTTCAGCAGAGTCTGTTTGCTTAGGCTGTACATCAGGTTTCTTGTCTCCCACACCTGCACCCATGCCTGCCGCCATGGGGTAAGGACCTTGGTCATTAAAGGGGCATTCTTGGTTTTCTATGTACCATTCCATGTCCTTTTGCCATATGCCCAGAACAGTTTTTGCAAAGCCAAACTGGATTCTTCTGTTCAGATCATACCATTTCATTCAGGAGTCCTGCCACCTGCATGCTTTTCTGTTTGCCTTTTATCCTCTCAGACGTATTGCACATTGATTATTGCACAAACTGGCCTTTCAGCAACTGTCTGGGTTGCCTCTGTGGCGGACTTGCCTCGCTTGTCATTGTCTCAGTGCTTTGTGTCTTCCCCTGAATGTCAGTTCCCGCCTACTGACTGATTCATCTCAATTAAAGTAAGATTATCCAGCTAAATAATGGGGGGAAACCCTCCCCACTGCATGAGAAGGAACAAAATAGGGACTCTTACAGGGATATTTTACTCCACAAAGTTTGAGTTTGACAGTTCTTTGAAAGGTAGATTCTAATGCGTTGTCAAGAATTTGCAAATGAAATCATGACATTAGTGGTGACAAGGAATCAAAAAAGGGCATGGCTTCCACCCTCTGTCAAAATGAGAAAACCGCAGCAGCAAGTATGAGTATGAGCTTTAACAAACAGCCTCATCCACATTCGTCTTTCAGAATGACATGCAGAAATAGTCACGAATAGTGGAGTAAGTTTCCATCAGGGGAGGAACTAGGCAGTGGAACTATCACTACACCAAAATAAGGGTCACGAATGAGCAGGACACAACTCAGATGTGGTGGGCACTTTACTTAACCTTTCAATATGTTAATTTCCCCCAGATGAAAACAGAAGGTGTATCTAACCCCATGGATCAACAGTAAAATAAGACAGAGGTGAGAAATCAGGATAATATATAATTGGGATGGTCCTATTACTCCCTTAATTCTAGAAACTGCCATTTTCAGTTTAATGTCCTTTTGAACCTCAAGATTTCAAAGTATTTAATAGGAAATATAACGTAAGCCTAAATGATTGTGAATCAGTAATGAAACAATTAACATGGAAAAGCGCATGAGGGTCCTTTTCAGCAATCACTAGAACTAATAACACAGAAAGAGTATGTAGGCTTTGGGTTCACTCCAAAGGAGCTTTGCAAACTAGCACAAAAATTTAATCAGCCCCACAAATATATTTCTTCATTCTCCTAAGTTTTATTCACAGTAAAAGGAATTTATGAATTCCAAGAATAATTTATTCATCTCATTTATTGCCTAAGTGTGTACAGGAAGCTGAATAACATTAAAAAAATAATTCAATGTGGATAGTCAAGGTCAATTTAGCAAAGCAAGATGAACCTGACCCAACAGCTGTGGGCTTCACACTTGGGGGCCCAGATTATTCAATGCCACTGAGGGTGGGAGGAGCAGATAGGAAGAGAAGAGAGTTGAGGATCCATTTCTCATAAAGTGTGCATCACTCTTAATTTTTTTTCCCTCATTCATTATTAAATAAATGAACATTATATTCCACTTATAACTAATTAATTTTAGATTTTTAAAAACTTGGCTGGTTTCATGCTCTCCTGTGTTTAATGGATAAAATTTTTTAAATGAATATATTTTTGTTTTTTACAAAATCAATTTTTTTTATTTAAAAATTAACATTTGCATCTTTAGGGTGGTATTCTGTTTTATTTTAAGTGTGCTGTGGTTGGGCTCAGCAGTTCCTAAAAGTGCTAAAAGCAAAGTGGTGAGATAAGCTCCAAACTTAATGGTTGTGGGGTCCTTAAAAAGCAATAGTGTGTTTTTAATGGAGTCACACAGTGTGAGAAACCAAAGAAGTTCTGCTTTCGCTGCCTGTTTCTCACTTCAGAGTAAGAAAGGAAGCGTAGGTAGGCAGGGGCAGAGAACTCACCAGGTTTCACAGATGAAAGCAAATGCTTGGAAGTGGAATTAAAACCCAGCGTACAGTGAACTGTTAGTGATAACCGATGCCAGCTCTAATCCATCCTCAAAGTGGAATATGAACCCTTCAAAGCTAACATTTGCCAGCTTGCCAAGGGCAGGGTTCTGTATGCTAGGCAGCAGAGCTAGAGACTGTTAGTGCATCTTGCTCAGAATTCATGGCCACATATATTGATTTGTCACATGCATCTAGGGAGAGGCAGATTTTGAAGATGGAAGGTGCTTTACAACTTGAGAAATTCAGAGTCATTCAGGGTTAAACAAATTTCTTGCTTGCAGAATTTCTCCAAGCCTTTACTATTTTAATGTGCATGGGGACAATTCCTGAATTACTGGCCCTGAGAAGTCTTTTTGCAGAGAGAGCTATTAGACTATGGCTAGATACTTATATTCCATGGGGCACACTTTGGGAAGTTCCAAGATAAAATATTATTATCCCTGGTTTACAGATTAGGGAGTTGAAGCCCATAGAAGATTACGTGCTAGACACTTGATGGTGGAGAACTCAGATCTCCAGCTTCCTGGTACTCACTCTTCCCAGGGTTCAGTCCAAAATCTGAGAAGATGAACTGTAGCTAGGGTTCATAACATGCATACTCTGGAAGGTCTCTTAAAAGAAATGCTTCGAAAAGCACTTTACACACCCTCTTGCTTTTCTGGCTCAGCAGAGACACAGAAAGCCTCCCAAATCAAGGTTACCTGATACAAAGGCATGCAGATGCTATCAATCCATTCCAATTGCAAACGAGGCAGCTCATCTTTCCGGTTCCGATCAAAAATAGCCTAGAATGGGGGACAGAAAGTAGTGTTACTGCATTGGAGTACTCTACAGGTGCTTTGTCAAATACTTTAGCCCAACTTTTACCAACTGCACACATCAAAAATCACAATCAATCTTTACACATACTTTCATTTCCTTTATCTATGATGAGAAATAAAGTATTTCCCCCTTTTTTATGAGATTTGTAAATGAATGTATTTGAACTTTACAGCATGCCACTCCTTGGGGCCAAAATCTGTCTTCAAATATAAGTAGCTGCTACTAAATCAAGTCATCAGGTCACTGGGAATTGGGAACAAGTCAAGGAGATGGGGATGTGTTTTATTGCCATAAAAATAATGCAGGCTCTTATTTCTACTGTGAGAGGGTGTGACAGATTGAAAAAATATTCTTAAAAGCAATTTTATTTTAAATAGAAACCATTTATATTACTTTTTCAGGGTGAAATGTTGGTGTGACAATTATATGTATTTTTTCAATAAGGTTCTGTCATTAATAGACTTCTAAATATTTATCTATCATGGGGGAGGGCAGAGGAGGACACCCATCCCTCTCATTCCCAGTCTTTAAACTTTATGATGGTATAATAATTGACATAGTGTAGTATGTTTTTGAGATATTTCTGTTGGGCAAACTTAGCAAGGGAAATGAACAGAATTCAAGAGTTAAAATGGATTCCTTGAAGAAACACTTGACAATTCTACTCCAGTGAGAATGTCCCTTCCTTTGTGCTTAAGGAGTAAGACCAGGACCTAAGAAGGTACCATGTGCCCTTATTGATAGAGAAGACTACATTGCCTGGTTATCACATGCCCTGGCATCTTAGAGTAGGTTTTGTCTTTACTACAAATAAAATGTGGCATTCACACCATCTTGGTGACTTTACTGGTCAAGTAGACAGAGTCAAGTAATCCCTTTGGTCCAAATCTACATCCTTCAGATTTATGAATGAGAGTAGGGCAGAAATCACAAGCTGCCAAACTGGGGGACACTATCTCCAAATTAGGGTAAAGGTCTATGACCCCCACAGCCTCTGTTTTATCCTTGTGTTGAAATGTGAAATGCAAAAGAAGGCTGGAATTCAGAGAAGACAGTGGAATGTGCTGGAGAAAGGAATAGTTCCCGTGAACTACATGGGTCTTGGTCCAAAATATTATTTTAACAAGTTTAATTCTTTTTTATTTTCTCTATATCTCTCTTTGCTATCTGAAATGTTTCGATTTATTTAACTGTCCTGTGTCTGGTGGGTATTATTCAATTACTTCCTTTTAAAAAATCAGTTGTTTCTAGTATACTCTCAGAGTCGTTATAACCATCATCATAATCAATTTTAGAGCATTTAAAAATATATTTGAAAGGCAAAATGAGAGAGCACACATGCATGAGAGAATTATCTTCCACCTGCTGGTTCATTCCCCAGATGACAGCAGCCAAGTCTGGACCATGTGGAAGCTTGAGTCAGGAACTCCTTCTGGGTCTGCCGCATGGATGGCAGAGACCCAAGTACTTGGGCTGTCATGTGTCGCTTTCCCAGGCACATTAGCAGGAAGCTGGGTCAAAAATGTGGAGAAGCTGGGACTTGAACCAGCATTCTGATATGGGATGCCAATGTCACAGGAGGTAGCTTAATACAAGCACCACAATGCTGCCCCTTGAACATATTTATCACCCCTAAACAAAGCTCAAACCAGTAGTAGTCACCCTCATTTTGCTCCAAACTCTCATCCTTAAGCAGCCACTAATCTACTTTCCGTCTCAAAGGACTGCCTCTTCTGTACTTTTTGTATAAATGGAGTTATATAATATGGGATCTTTTTCACTTAGCCTAATGCTTTCAAGATTTACCTTAGCCATGTGGCATCTATAACTTTTATTGATTTTTATTGCCAAGTGCTATTTCATCATATTGATATATCAAATTTTATTTATTTATTCATCAATTGATTGACATTTATTTATTTATTTATTGACAGGCAGAGTGGACAGTGAGAGAGAGAGACAGAGAGAAAGGTCTTCCTTTGCCGTTGGTTCACCCTCCAAAGGCCACCGCGGCCAGCGCGCTGCGGCCGGAGCACCGCGCTGATCCGATGGCAGGAGCCAGGTGCTTCTCCTGGTCTCCCATGTGGGTGCAGGGCCCAAGCACTTGGGCCATCCTCCACTGCACTCCCGGGCCATAGCAGAGAGCTGGCCTGGAAGAGGGGCAACCGGGAAAGAATCTGGCGCCCCGACTGGGACTAGAACCTGGTGTGCCGGCACCACAAGGCGGAGGATTAGCCTATTGAGCCATGGTGCCGGCCAATTGATTGACTTTTGATATTCATTTTAATCACTTTTTTTTTTTAAAGATTTCATTTATTTATTTGACAAATAGAGCTACAGATAGTGAGAGGGAGAGACAGAAAGGAAGGTCTTCCATCTGCTCCCCAAATAGCCGCAATGCCAGAGCTGGGCCAACCTGAAGACAGAATCCAGGAGCTTCTTCTGGGTCTTCCACATGGGTGCAGGGGCCCAAGGACTTGGGTCATCTTCCACTGCTTTTCCTAGGCCATAGTAGAGAGCTGGATTGGAAGTGGAGCAGCTGGGACTAGAACCAGTGCCCTTATGGGATGGTGGTACCACAGGCGGAGGATTAACCTACTGTGCTACAGTGCCAGCCCCTCCACTTTTTGGTTAATATGAATATTGCTGCATTGAACATTCGCATACAAGTTTTTGTTTGCATATATGTTTTGATTTCTCCTGGGGATATACATATATACCTAGAGGTGGAATTTCTGGGTCATATCATAAACCTATGTTTAAATTTTTGAGGAATTGTCCAACTGTTTTTTGAAACAGTTGCACCAATTTACATTTCTCCCAGCAATGTATTAAGTTCCTATTTCTCCACAGCACCACCAACGCTTGTCATCATCTGTGTCTTAGTGAGTGTAAAGTAGTATCTCATTGTGGTTTCAATTTACATTTCCTGGTGACTAATGATTTTGAGAATCTTTTTATGTGCTTATTGATCATTTATATATCTTCTTTAGATAGAGCTATTCAGATCCTTTAACCATATGACTTATTTGTCCATTTAAAAAATGATTTACTTATTTTAAAAGAGAGAGAGAGAGAGAGGGAGAGACAGAGAGAGCTTTCTTTCATTCTCTAGTTCACTCCCCAGATGACTGCAGTGGCCATCACTGGGACAGGCAGGAGCTAGGAGCTTCATCCAGGTCTCCCATGTGGGTGGTGGGGGCCCAGACACTTGAGCCATCTTCTGCTGCTTTTTCCAGGCCATTAGCAGGGAGATGGATCAGAAGTGGAGCATCCAGGACATGAGTGGCCCCATATGGCCCCACAGACAGTGGCTTTACCTGCTACACCCAATGCTGGCTGGCCCCAATTAATTTGCCTGTTGTTGGATTACAAGAGTTCTTTTTACAGTCTTGATACTTTTGGCACCTCAGAGATATATTATTGGCAAATAATTTCTCCACTCTGTGAGTTGTCATTTCACTTTCATGACAGTGTCCTTTGATGTACAAATTTCTAATTCTGATTATGTCCAATTTTGATAGTCTAATTCAACAGCTCTGAGCCACTTTATCTTTTATCTCTTGTGCTTATGTCATTATATCTAAGGCACTGTGGCTAAATCAAACCCAGAAGGTTTATACCTTGATTTCTAAGAGTTTTATAGTTTTATTTCTTGCATTTAGTTATCTGATACATTTTGAGTTAATTTTGGGTGTGTTGGTGGTAAGAGGTAGGGGGCCAATTTTATTCTTTTGCCTGTGGATATCCAGTTGTCCGTGTACCCTTTGTTGAAGGAACTTCCCTCCCTCCACATTGAATTGTCTTGATACCCATGATGAAAATCAGTTCACAATAAATGGAAGGATTTATTCCTGGACTAGTCACTTCTTTACCTTTGACAAGAGAAAAATGAGGGTGAGGCGCCATATCCTGCCGTGCTCCCCTTTGTCTACAATTTGCACCTTGAAATTGAGTATTAGTAAGCATTTATTTAATGTCTATATTTCCCACCAGTTGACAAGGTCCTTGAGGGCAAGGAGACTGCTGTCTTGCCAGTCACTGGATACAATGCCTAGCTTTGAGCACATGGAGGTGCTCAAGCACATTTGATGAACTGACTCACTGCTTCTGGTATCAACCCTCTGGCTGTGGCCCAGATTAGCCTCTGTCTTAGCAAAACCACTCTGATGGCTTCCAGGACCATGACACCTGAGGGAACAACAGGACAATTTTCTTCCTAATTATCAGGGGCAGGTGGACACTGTAGGTGTCATCTCTGGGCGCGCACTTTTCCAGACATTTCTGGAAAAAGACTCGTGAACGATAACCTTGCCACAGCAGCCAGGCCTCTCCTGAGGAGAGTGCCGTCAGCTGTGCTAAGTAGTCTTTTGTGAGGAGAGAGCATCATTTAGAGTTATGCTTCCTCCACAGAATTAATATCATTTATGTCTTCAGAAAATGCCTTACCTGGGCCTACAGATAAAGGCTCTTTAGTGCTGCACCACTGCACCTGCCAGCTCGCTGACGCTGGCAATTTACTCATTTTTTTTTTCATTTAATTAAATGACCTGTGGTATTGCTGTATTATAAACCCTTCAGAGTATGCCTCTGAGATGGCTTTTAAAAGGAAGGGGTAAGCTTCTATTTGAAAGCAAATATACAGCTGAGGGAAACTTGGGTTTAGCAGGTTTTACACTTGAACTCTATGTATCACAATCTAGTGTCTTTTTTTACAACTAAACTTGGTAAACACCAAAAAAAAAGGATGTTTTAAAAACTGTATATATAGATGTTGCTTTGAAAACTTAAATAAGTGGTTTGTGTTTCAACCTATGCTGTATTCTGACCTTTTTTAGGTAAGCAACTGGTTAACAACAGTCAAAATGGAGGCTAGCATTGTGGCACAACAATTTAAGCTGCTTGCAATGCTGGCATGCCATACTGAAGTGCCAGTTTGAATCCTGGCTGTACTACTTCTGACCCAGCTCTCTGCCAATGTGCATGGCCAAGCCGAAACCAGGAGCAAGGAGCTTCATTAGGGTCTTCCATGTGGCTGGCAGGGGCCCAAACACTTGGGCCATCTTCGCTGCTTTCCCAAGGATGTTCGTAGGGAGCTGGGTCAGATGTGGAGCAGCTGGTACACAAACAGGTGCCTACAGGGGATGCTGGCACCCCAGGTGTCAGCTTTACCTGGTGCACCACACACCAGCCCCTTTTCTTTGATTTTAAATGTCAGCAAAGAAGAACAGCTTAAACCCTGAAGATCTTTCAAATACTTCCAAATATTTAAGACACCATTGGTTGGAATCCTCATGAACAAACGTGGTCGACAACTGACATATTCCTTGAGTTTTATTGATGCTGTGCTAGGTTTTAAAATACTTTGCCCCACTCTCAGAGTCATTGGACTACATAATTTGAGCTGATTATTCATTAGGAATGAAGGGGCTACCTCTCCTCGAGGGTGGGGACTGAGGAACTGAACATCTTCATGTGTACACACAGCGTCAGCCTGAGCCCACAGCAAACACTGTCAAATCTCCGCTGAGCGGATGATAGAGCGCAGCCTGCTCACTGGAGCCTCATTCCCCACTGGAAACTTCTCAGTTTCCAGACAAAGGGCAGAAACAGATGTGCTTTAGGGATTTTGAAAAGTTCAAAATTGGAAAATAAAATCAGCCCTTCAACACTAGACAGCTTGCCTTATTATTTATTTATTTATTTATTTATTTATTTTTTGCTGTATTTCTATTCCAAAGGAGGCACACAGGAAATGCTAGCAATGGACTCTGAATTATTCAAATTCCACTTTTCACATCCTCCCCTGTGCCTACTCATTCCACTGTGGGTGCTCGGTAAATGCTTATTAAGTAGCTCACCACTCTTAATCAGAAACCTGGGAATTAGAGTGTTTAGCATTTAAGTTTAATTAAAGTTCTAAGCTTCCAAGGGGGGGTGCTTCTTTAAATCCATTCTCAGTCTTTGGCATATTCAATTTGTTATTTGGAGTTATTTTGGAAAATGTCATTCAAAAGGGTAAATAGATGATAATAAAAGGATGAACTTACTGAAGGGGTGAGTTTGAGTTCTGATCTTTCCCGATCTCCTTGTTCAAAGAACTCACTGGTTACAAGTTCAGCCACCTGAAACATATAAATATTTTATCAGGAGACTCAGTAGTTATTATTGGCTGATGTATAAGGTGATTATCTTCAACACAGATAATCATTTACAAAGTTTATGAGGACTATATTAACCTTTTGTATTTGAAGGTACTACAGAATTTAATCAATGAAACTGATTTCCTTTTAATCAAGATAATTTGTGCAATGTATTTTTAGATAATGCCAATGGATGATTTCCCACAGTACAGCTACCCTATTCAGAATGAGGCATTGGATTGCCACTTTCAAAGTAAGAAAAGTTCTTATACAGAGAAATGAAGCAATTAATAAGAATTTATATTGTTATAATATTATATGATGTAATGATAATTTTGCCAACCTTTGGGTTTTTTTCCTTACATTTGTTACTTTGCTGTGATGTAGGCAGCACAGTAGCCAGCAAAGATGGGCTAAGGATTGCTAGCATCTGTGCTGCAGCCTTGCCTGCTCCACGGCCCCGCGTATCCTGCCCAAATCCCACCCTCCTTCCGTATAGACTGCAGCTGCAGGGTTTTGCTACTCAAGAATTGGTGGCTAAAAATATTCAGTATAGCTCTTAATTGCATACCTGTGATGATATTTAGTTCATTATAATGTCATTTTAATAAGACTACTATGGCCAACACTTCCACTCCCATCATGCACCTGATGTCACGACACTTTCAAGATTTCCAAAAAAGGGCAAGGAAATGGGTGTTAGTCCAGCCTCACCCCAAACCCTACCACCTTTGAATATTAAATTAAGCCTCACCCCAGACATTACACCCAGAACATAGAAAAGGATGGCCCTTGATCCCTGTTCAACTGGGCCAAACCTAGCTAGGGACTACCCCATTACAGTCATATACTTTAATCTTAGCTTGGCTTCATCTTGCCATCACAAAAACTCCTTAATTTCCTCCTTACAAATATTTGTGTGTAGAAAGGTTAACCTCAGGGCATGCCTTCTACTTCCTCCTGCAGCAAGCAATCAAGAGGCAGGACACATGCTAGATCCACTGTTCACACAAGACGTTTATAGCACGTCAAGATATAGTTTGAAGAATGTGATTTGGTCTTTGGATTGCCTGAATCTATATACAAAACTGTTGATTTATGCCAGGCTCTAGTTAGTATAAGCACAATGAAATGGTTGTGCTACTCCAAACCATGGAGATAACCCTATTTTCCAACTTTTCATCCAGTAGTGTGAATGATCAGCAGAAACTGATCACAGACAAACTAAAGAGATTTTTTTCCCCAGTGCATAATTTTCAGGATAGCTTGTGACAAGTAACATGATATAACAGATGTTTAAAAGGTATTTTCAATGATACTGTAGTTCACATCTAGGTAATTTCTGAGATGAACTAGCTGGATTTACAAACTATTAGAAGAACAGAAAAAACCCAGACAACCTAAGGGCAAGAAAATGTGGATCCCTAAACTAGTTTTTACTTCTGCTATTCTAGACTGTTAGGAAGATAAATTCTTAAATATGAAAAAGGTGAGATGAGTTTACTTTTGGTCAAGTGCATAGAATCAAGATAATTAAGTGTAGCTCTCAAGAGATTTTATCAACCATGGATCATAAATAAAATTTGAACACAACATCAAACTCTCTTTCTCCCCACCACACACACATATCTGAGAAGAGGAAGTATGTAGCTATTAAAAAGAAAGGAATATCCAGTAAGTCCAGATTTCTAACATTTCTAATAAGAAGCATGACCACCTTTCAAGAATTCAGCCACATAAAACTCATTGCAATTACTCAAAAATCAACGTCTCCCCACGTCCGTCTACAGTCACTGGTATATGTGCCCATCTTTTAGGACTTGGTTTTCTTCTCTCCAGTCTGTGCCACTCTGGGCTTCTTCCTCTAGCCTTCCTTTAAAGAAGAAACAGCCCCCTAAGGGTATGACCCTGCTTATTCCATTCCCAGAGCTCTCTCAGACTGCTCTGAAGCTGCTTCTTCTGCGATAAAGAATAAAAATGTGCACATCAGGCACCTGGAGGTGGGAGCCCTGTGTAGGTCTATAGCCTCTGGAAAGCAAAGAAATTAAACAAAATCTCATCCCTGCTCTTTCTAAAGTGGTTCTGGGTATCTCCCCTGTGCTTCTTTCACAGTTGAACTTGTACCACTGTTTTGCTTGTACTTAAAAATCCAATCAGGAACATTAAGTGGCTCCTGATGGAATTTTTCATTAAAGAAAGAAATTGAGATGCTAATGAGGCCTTGAGGGATCACTGGGGAAACCCACATGCTCAGAGCCATGATTGCGAGGAAGGAAAAGTGGAATAAATCCTGGGAAAAAGAACATTTTAAAAGGGAGTTTAAAAAAATCCAGGAAATTGAAATGTTATTTTTTTTTAAAAAAGTGTTCTGATGTTTTGACCTAATGTTCCCCAAATCAAAAAGTGAATAGAGTTTTAAAAGTATCAACCTATTCAGTTTGGAGACAAGCAAAGATGATAACTGTAGCACAGAAGTGTGACAAGATTTCTGATGGAAACATGTGCAAAAACATGTTTTATTTTTGAAATCTACCATTTTTGCGCTTATCAGCAGAACTTCACATTCTAAAAATAAAATTTTGTCTATACCAGTGACCAAGACAAGCAGCTATTGGGCCTCCCAAGTTGGTTTAAAATATCCATGAAGAAATTCTTTTTCCTTCTAAACACTTGACCCTGTCCCTTTCCTGTACCAAGTGAGCTCCTGCTCCTCTAGTTCCTGATGCGTGTTTCACTGGGATTTCTGGAGCCCCTGGCACACCGTACCTCACCCCACTCCCTTTCTAGTCTTCTCTGTTTGTGGCCTAGCCTCATCACTTCTTCTAACTCTCCACCCCTTTACCTAGCTTCTCTTCCTCCCTTCATAGCAGCCACTCCAGTATTACACTTTCCCCCAGTACCTGAAGAGTCATGCGCCTCTTCCCTCCGTCCGTGCTCCCTCCACTCGTGTAGTAAGGGAGGCCTCCCAGCACGGGAGAGGTGAAGGGCGGGCAGGTAAGTAAAGAAAAGCTGCCCAACCACACACATTCTTCACAGTTACCCTGCTTTATGTGACTTCATACATGTCACACTGAAATGAAAACCAAAGCGCAAATGAAGGAGGGCTCTACAGAAACAGCTCCTGATTGGCATTGAACTGTGATGTAAGCAAGAAACAAACTTTAATTTGTGTTAAGCAACTGAAATTTCAGAATATATTTGTTGCTACTGCAAAACCCCTCTTAACCTTGATTGACATAAAAATTGTCATCAAAAAAGAACTGAGGTGCTACTGTTAAACAAAAAGAAAGTAAAAGACCCTAAAATATGTGGTATCAGCTTGGGGGCCAGTTATCAGGCAGTGTGGAGGCTACAAAGATTAGAATCCACATCACACAGTGGCAAAATATTCTTTACCATTATCACATAAATAAAGTTAATTTTTAAATTGACTTATAGTCTCCAGAGAAAAGACTGGAAAACAAAATGTTAGAAGCATGCAATGGATGCCAATGACCGTTTTGCTAGGTATTATTAGAAAAAAGCTCAGAAACGCATAGGAATGGAAGAGAATTGAACAGTTCACAAATTGAGGGTCTTGCAGAGATGGAAGATGAACCTGCTTCTCAACTCTAAATCATGAAAATGAAAATCGAGAGGTGTTTTGAGTGACAAAGGTCAACAGACTCAGCACTGCAATAAGAATCAGATAAAATTTGGGGGAGACTTGGGACGTCCAGGGCTCTGAGTCCACACATCGGCGCTGGAAGGGGAGCGGACCTGCGTGGAGAGCGTGGGAGCCCACAGTTCGGGACACCAGCGGCAGACTCAATACACCAGCGCTGGAATGTGAGGTGAGCCGAACCTCAATAACCCGCGACACCGGCAGGCAAGCGGAGAGAGGAGACTAGAGGGAACGACCCCCGGGGAGGGGGGAAGTTCACCAGGCTAACTGGAAGAGAGAGAGAGAGAAAAAAAAAAAGGTGACTGGTACGGACACGGGTTTCTCTCTCTCCGCTCACCTCTCAAGGGCGAGCAAGACAAAGAGCAGGCGCCATCTTGGACATACGTCATAAGCAGAGCGACCTCAGGTCTGCACCGGCCCTGAGCCTAGCAGAAAAACCTGACTCTGGGACTCTGGGCGGGGCAAATTAACAGGAGATTAGGACCTTGTAAATTTGTGGTGCTACTGAACTGAGACTGTGAAAAAAGAGACGGTGGGGGAGAGAACTCACAGAATTCACGTGAGCACTCTCCAGAGACACTACAATTCCGTATCTTTGGCAACCCAGTGGGAGACTGAAGGAGAATTTGAGCCCACTCTGGAGGGCCGAACAGATTCCCTGTGTGGTCCTTGGGAAAGAGGTTCCAATCTCTGGCTCCTGTGGGTATATCCTTTGCCTGCTAACTACCTCCAACTTCATTCAGCTGTGCAGAATTACTTCCCTTTTGAATCAAAAAAAAAGAAAGAGAGAGAGAGAGAGAGGTTTACCACGCCTAACCTGGGAGTGTCACCTTTGGCACACCAAACAGAGCTCTCAGGCCACACCCATCTCAAGCCCTAAGGCTCCATCAAAAACAGATAGTCCACTTAATCTAGAGTCATAGTATAACAAGAAAAAGCACCACAGTGAAGAAACCAAATATCTCCAATATGCCAAATAACAAACGCAAAAACCGAGGTAATAAAAACAAGGAAGTCACCATGAAGCCCTCAAATGAAAAAGACACCCCAATTCAAGATTATGAGGATGATGACATAGAAGAAATGCAAGAAGAAGATCTCAAAAAATTGATAAGAACATTAAGAAGTTCTCAAAAACAAATTCTTGAACTACAGAAATCCTTAATGGACAAGATAGAAAATCTCTCTCGTGAAAATGAAATATTAAGGAGGAATCAAAATGAAACGAAACAACTAGTACAACAGGAAACTGGGATAGTGACTGAAGTGAAGAATTCAATAGATCAAATGAAAAACACAATAGAGAGCCTTACAAACA